GCTGCGGTGTTCCGGCCATGAGCGAGGTTCAAGGGTTCGGTGCAACGCTGGGAGGCCGCAGCACCGGAGCCAATATCAAAATGAACAGCATCAGCCACGGCAGCGGCACGGAAAGCAGTTTATTGCACGAATCGGAGCAAGCAGACAGCTCGGGGCTGTGTAATCCATCGTCAAATTGTCCTACTGGGGAGAAACAGGAGGCTCCGGCCCTCCTCGGGATGTGGGAGCAGCTCCTCTCAGCACGGCTCCGAGGAGAATGCAGCGGCTCTGGGCAAGAATGAGGACTGCTCTGCTGAATCATGCTGTCATTCTAAGGAATGGTTTGGATGGGACAAGGCCTTATAGCGCATTCAGTTCTAATCCCCTGCCATGGGCAGGAACACCTTCCACTAGAGCAAGGTTGCTCCAAAACCCCGTCCCAGCTGGCCTTGAACACTGCCAGGGATGGGGCAGCCACAAGGCGCTGATGCAAAGGGGAAACGTGCTAGTGGATAGAGAAATCTCAGGCAGACTCAGAGTTTATTCCCCCAGGGTTCACCTCGGGATGAATGAGAAACTCCATTGTGCTCCAGTGGCTGAGCACAGGGCTATCTGCCTTTGGGAACTCACAAAACACCTACATGCAACCCTGTAGACTTCAACTTCAGCTCTGTGACACCAGCTCCCACCCGGGGCACTCACAGCCCACTCACCTGGTGCTCTTGGAGCACACATGGGAACTGCCCTCCCCCTGTGTGGGATCCTCAGAAGATACATTTTTCATTGGTCAGATCAGATCCTCTGCACTGGCACGCCCCCCGAGAGGGAACATGTCACGTGTGGCAGGGACAGGATCCCACTGTGCAGTAACAGGATGAAGTCCCCAGCTCAACACAGCCATGCACCAGTTTATTTGGATTAAAAATCTTAAAGAGTCCAGGCACCAGGCCTGAGGGACACTTAGCTTAGACAGACAGCATGGTTTTCAAGTTGTCAGCTCTCAGACCTTCCTATCTTTCCCTCCCGTTTTCTGGTGTCACCAGCAGTTTGCACAATCAAAGCAGAGGAGAGGGACACCCCACCAGGAAGATAGACCCCTCGGTTCATGGCTTTGGTGCCCACCAAAGGCCTCTGCTCTGCAGGGAGGGCTGCCAGGGCTGGGATGAGAGACGCAGAGACTGACAGTGGCTTTCAGAGAAGGTTCTTACTGGGAGGAAAGGGTGAGCAAGTGTTTCACCTCAGGGTACGTGACTGAAGTCAGAACTGGGCAGGTTTAGAGGAGGGATGCTGCTCTGCCCCACACACCAATGCCCCTGTGAGTTACACCTGATTCCCAGATGGAAAGAGCAAAACAGCGACTGACTGCATTTTGGTAACGAGCAGTCCTCAGAGCTTTGGCGCTGCCCAGCCCCGGACAAGGATGAAGGGGGATGCAGGAGGATGGAGCCTGCTGGCAGCAGGGACTGTAAGGAGGTCGGAGGAGCACATCTGAGCAGCCCTTCCACTCAGCCCCTCATATCCCCTCCTGCTGCCTCACGAAGCCTTTTCCTGGAGAACCGTGCATGAGGGAGCCTCTGGTGCCTCTGCTGGTAGGATGGCAGTGTGAAGCTGGTGCTTCCTCCAGCTTGTGAGAGTGCTGGGGCTGATGGATAGCAGGGGAGAAAGGCTGTGATGAGTGGGAGCCAGCAACGACGTCCCTGCTCCACACTGCAGGGTGGTTTTGACTAGGCTTCTACAACAACTTATCTACAAGATACATTCAGCAGCGGCGCCGAGTGCTGTGCTTGGAAATATTCTGCTTCTTTCCTTTCCCTCCCCATATTCAACTGATGGGGAAGGGAAAGCCACCAGCTCCAGGGCACACACCTGTCTTTACTTTGTGACTTGATGGATGGCATGAGCCAGGTACCCTACGTTGCTCGACGTAACTCCTGCCACAGAGATTCGCCCATCCTTCGTCATATAGATGGAGAACTCCTTGATCAGGCGCTCCACCTGGCGTGAAAGAGCACAGGTCAAACCACAAGCCAACTCCCACTCTTGTCAACAGAGGGCAAGCTCACAAAGCTTGCCAGAACTGAGCTCAGCCTGGGTGCCAGCAAACATGGCATCCTCCTACCTGGAGCTACTATGGTTGCCCAGAGAGGTGGTGGATGCACCATCCCTGGAGACATTCAAGACTAGACTGGATGTGGTTCTGCGCAACCTGATCTAGTTGAAGATGTCCCTGCTCACTGCACAGGGATTGGACTAAATGACCTTTGAAGGTCCCTTCCAACCCAAACCATTCTGTGATTCTATGACTCTACCATGGAGCCAGCATCATGCCTCGTAAACCAGGAGAGATGCTGCTCAGCTTTTGGGCAACATATAAATGCTGCAGATATTCAGCCAGGATATTCACCTCACTTGAGCTGACCTTTAAGGTCACCTTAAAGAGTGTCACCAAGTGACTGCTTCCTTTGACAGATAAGCAGGCTATGTTTGCTTTAAACCTCCACAAGCACATTAGGGAACAGAGCAAGACCTGGGTCTCCATGACATTCCAGTGCCAAGGGCTTGGAGGATGCTCCTCCTGGAGGAAAAACTGCTTAACAGGGCTCAATCTGGCATCTATAGTCAAGATCTTACTGACAGGACTGCAAACGACACCTTGAGCCCACAGGAATTGTGTTTACCTGCTCAGGCTTCAGCCCCGTGAAGCAGAACATGCCGATCTGGTCAGTGATATGCTGCCAGTTGTGGGAGGATCCCTCTTTCTTGAGGTTGGACACCAGCTGAGTTCGCATGCTGATGATCCGGTCAGCCATGCCCTTCACCTCCGTCAGCCTGCAAAGCCAACCCAGGAACTGCTCAGAGCAGTGCTGGGATGCAACCATACTGCTTCCCCACTACCAACTACAGGGAATCAGCTCTCTTCACCTGGAGAGGCCTCATTCAGGGATGCAGATGAGCCAAGACCAAGGAGTGTGAGCCTGTAGCTACAGCTGGGGAGCTGCTTCCTTCAGTCACCTAAAGATGACTGCTATTTATTTACTCCATAGCTGCGGGACACTAAAGTATAGGCATTTCTTACTTTTGAAAGCTACAGGTCAGTAGAAGGCCTGATGGCAGCACTGCCCAAACCCAGATAAAATAATATCTGCAGACAGATAAAGAGTGCAGGGATACCTCCAGGGCAAGCAGACACTCCCTGCTCCAAGGCAGCACAGCTAGGAGACGCCTCTGCTTATCCCTGGATCAGCACAAGCATCAGCCTGCCAAAGGAACCCTGCTGCCAGCAAGGCCACAGCACATTGCCAGCCTTTGTTCTGCCAGGCCAACTGCCCACAGGGACTGACACCAAGGGAATGATGCCAGGAAGCAGGCTTAGGGCTTGAAGGTTACATTCCTGGGTCTTGTTCCCAGGGGGCTTAGGCTTCCACTTCCCCTGTGTGAGACATACTACATGGATACAATGCCTCAGTCCTTTCCACTCCTTTCTTGGACAGGCAGCTGTTGCAGGTCTTAATCCTAAGGGAGCTTCATCCCATCTTTTACAGTGTTTTCTGTCTTGGCAACACAAGGGAAACCTGTTTGTGTCAGGCAGGACCAATCCCAGCTGATGCCAAGACACACGCAGTGATGTCTCCAGAGGAAAGGTTCTGACTGGATCCCTGGTTCTGATCGTACCCCTGAAGCTTAGAGCTGCCCAGGACAGCAGCAGGGAGTAAGCACAGCACAGGACTGCCACACAGACCTCACATCTTGCTGCTGTGAGCATTAAGGGTTCCATCTTACCACTCCTTCCGTATGTCAGGGATGTTGAGTATGATGGAGGCGATGCGAGCTCCATTCAGGGGTGGGTTGGAGTACATGGGACGGATGAGGATCTTCAGCTGTGACTCAACCCTCTTGGCTTCCTCTGCATTGCTGCAGATCACCGTGAAGGCACCTGCACGCTCTCCTGAAAGAGGGTGATCAGGTCCCAGCCTCAGCCCTTGGATACCCAGGGCTGGGGTAGGACTTATCCAAGTGCCACACAGCTTTAGCAGAGCACTTTTTCTCCAGCAGGGCCTCCACCAGCTCCCAGCAGGTGATCTCCTGTGCCCTGATCACTACTGCAGCATAAATATGGGCAGCAGAAAGACAGTGGCTGCTAAACCCCAGAGGCAGCCTAGATGAAGCCATCTCCATGCCACCTGCCTTACTCACCATACAGCCCCATGTTCTTGGCATACGACTGAGATATGAGGACGTTGATGCCCTGGTCGATGAAGTACCGCACAGCCCAGGCATCCCTGTTGATGTCCCCACTGGCAAACCCTTGGTAGGCCATGTCAAAGTACACAAGGAGGTTTCGTTTCTGCCAGCAAAGAGGGGAGAGAGCATCAGAGGATCTGAACACCCCTCCAGGGAGCAGGGCAGCAGGCTGAAAAGAGCCATGCAGGCAGCAGCCTGCTCATTGCAACTGTTCTGCAGAAGGAGAGCCATTCCCCTTTGTTTGCCACAAGGAAGGCAGCCCAAAACCCACAGCTACCCACCACTCATCACAACAGCAGGTAAAGACCCTCCTGGTGCATTTATGGGATGTGTAGTCTCGCCCAGGAGGCAGAAGCAGATTCAGCAGTAATAAGTTACTCCATTTCAGTGTCTCCTGTATTATCAGTTTCCAGGAAAACTAGCTGGGAACTCCTTAGGCAGGTGGCAGCCCTTCCATTGCCTCCAGGCAGATAACCCAGCCACACTGTCCCTATATCAGGAGCCCTGCAGCCATCTGTAGGCCACAGAGGCCACTTTGATATTGACCAGTTCTCAGGCTGCTACTAAGGCCAGGCATACCCAAGCCAAATTTCATTGACTACAGCTTGGGGGAGCAGCAGGGAGGAGAAGAATGATGAAGGTAGAACCTGCCCCATCTGTTTTCAGATGAAGGTTGTGACAGGATACCAGGCATGTGAAAGGTCTTGCAACAGGTTAAATACACCAGCACTGGGAGCACCTCTCCAGCTATCACAGCTCACTCGTTCAACCCTGCTGCTCTCCTTTCAGGTCTCCCTACCTAGGAAGGTGCCAGCAGAAAGTTTGAGATCAGCTAGAAACTGTATGGGTGCATTTGTCTGGCTCCTGTCTTTAGTACAGGAACATGGCACCTATCCTGGCTTCAGGAAAGGGAATAACCTTTAGCACAGCAAAGACCATGAGATCCCAGAGATGGTGTTCCCAGGAACAGCACAGTACCCATGGAATGCTGTAGTGCTCACCTTCACCACAGCCGCTATCTCCTTCCATTGCTCCTGTTGAGGATCCACCCCAGTGGGGTTGTGAGCACAAGCATGCAAGAGGATGATGCTTTTCTCTGGAATTTTCTAAGGAAGATATTGGAGAGCATGAATTACTAATGACATCTGAGCACTCTCCTCAGCAGCCAAGATGAGAGTCTTGCCCCAGACAGCCTCTGTGAGCTCTGCAGGGCTTCTAGCCTTGATTTAGGGCCTTCGCATATCATACTTAGGCTAAAGCAAGAAGATCATCCATCTTCCCACATCTCGTCCCTACTTCCAGGCATGAAAGTAAACTCACAGAAATGTCATCCATAGCTCCAGAGAAGTCAAGGCTGCACGTCTCGGGCTCATAGTAGCGGTAAGCCTGCAGCTGCAGGCCAGCATCACGGAAAATAGGCGTGTGATTGCCCCAGGACGGTTTGGGTAGATACACATCACGGCTAGACTTGAAGAACCGTTGCTGATTAAGAGAAAGACATAAAGTGTTTAAATAGGTTTCAAACAAAGATTCAAACTGTCAGAAAACCCCAAAGATTCAGCTCTGGTCAAAAATATGTCCTTTCCCTCCCACACCAACCAGGGACTCACCAAAAAGTTGGCTCCAATTCGCAGAGATCCAGTCCCAGAAATACCCTGCACAGTGACATACTGCAAAGAAATAAACAAATACCCGAGTCTGAGCAGCCATGGTATGATTACAGGGGCTAGAGGGGACCACAGGAGTCAGCAACTCCAGTTGCAAGGCAGGGAGCTGGGACAAGGTCAAATTCCCTCCCTGGAAAGGGCTGTTTCCCACCTCAGCTTTCAGAGGAAGCACTTATCCATGGGCCTAGCCAGCCTGCAACTCAGAGGCATGAGTAGCCTGCCAGTTCTTCCACATTTGCTAGGTACCCACCTACCACCCATACACCAGACAGCGCTGCCCACCCCCTGCTTCCCATCCTGCTCCTTACCCGTCCGCTCTTGAAAGCCTCACTGTTTTCACCCAGAGCCAGTTCTGCGGATGCCCGGGTGAAATCTGCCAGCCCCACAATGGGCAAGTACTCTTTGTCCATCTTCTTGGATGCTATCATGGCCTCTGCCTGGGAAGGAGGACACAGAGTCAGCAAGGAAGGTATCACGATGGAGAAGATGGTGGACAGCTGAAAATCCTATCTGCTAGCTCAAAAGGGGCTAAGGTTGTTCTACAGGAGCTTCCCTCCAGAGATCAGGGCTGGTTCCAAGCACAGGGCACCAGTAAGCATTCCAGATTAAACCCTTTTACCATGGGGCATGGTGCCCAGTGGCCACCAGAGCCCTCAGTGGGTGCCACTGTCAGTATAGCAGAGCCCAGAAACCCAACACCAGAGAAGAGGATCACTTCAAGCCCATAACAACTCAACACTGCTGTACAAGGATATGTGTTTCTCTGCCCAAGAAGGAATTGTCCTGCAGGAAGACGACCCCTGACTGTTCGGAAACCAGTCCAAGTCCCTATCTAACACAGTATGATAAAGTGGAGGCATGAACAACAGACAAGGAGCAATGCTCAGGAAAAATAAAGCAACAGAGACATCTGGAGCACTCTGGGTACCCTATCTTGCTCCCAGAGTAGCGGGACAGGCCCTGGCAGCATTCACACGCCACCAGAAAACCTTTCCTGTGCCACAACTCAGGTTCCCTGGTTGTGACCCAGCTGCAGTACGTGTTGACATGGGGAGAGCAAGGGCAACAGATGGCTTTAAACCCAACAGTGATGAGAGACATGGACAACACATCCTCCCTTCTACGCTGACAGCCCTGAAAGGCTCCGTAAGCCCCTCAAGGGCAGTGTCCACATCCAGCTCCCTCGGCTGGAGGTTTAGCCTGGCTTATGGAGAAACTGTTAACAATGACTCAGCAGAATTTCAAAGACTGATCCACAAAGGAGACAGTGTCAGCATTTTCCTCCCATGGGGGCTGGCCCAGGGAACACCAGCCTATTGAAGAAACATTGACGTTCAGAGGACAGCTGGGTTGGAGGGCTCATGGAAGTCAGCAACAAATCAGATTCACCTGCATGGGAACAGGACATGCATTCCCTGGTTTATCCCCTCCTACTTAACAGCTTTGTTGTATCTCAAAAGCATTAGGACAGCTAAGGAAGACATCCAGGAACACTGTCCTGCTCTGTTAGAGACAAAGCTTATTCTAAGGACCAACAGGCAACCCTTACTCAGAGGCCTTCCCCCTCCCTGACACCCCTGGGTGGCTAACACCTGGGTCTGGCCCTGTCCTGCTGCAGCAGCAGGCTCACCTTGCGAACACAGTTCAGGACGTACGGCTTCCCGCTGTCATCCCGGTATGCCCCCACTCCCAGGTTCATCTTCTTGGAGTTGGTGTCACGCTTGAAAGCTTCTGTCACCCCCAGGATAGGGTCAGGGGGACCCATCTCCACATGGGACCACCATGAGCTGAAGGGAAAGAAAGGCTTGAGATCTGGCCAGGGATGTGCATCAACATGGCTAGAGGGAAAACCTCAAGGGAAATCTTGGCTTTAAACCCCTGGAAGAGGAACAAGAAGTGCTAAGAGAAATATCCAAGGGGAAAAAGAACCAATCCTTTATGCTCCATGATCTGGCACTGCATTTTACATGACAGAATGGGCAAAGAGCTTCAGTTCATTGTGGCTGAAGATTAACTGACTCCCTGCAAGTCATTAACATGTAGACATGGCCCCGCTTGCCTCATGTCCTGACATCAGGAAGGCCCCAGGAAACAGAAGCCTTCCCATCAATACAGGGCCTCTTCCAAACTCCTGGAAGGCCTCTTGTGCATGAAGACTAACCTGCTCTTCCTGCAACATCACCTGAGCTAATGGAGACATTTCCCTTCCCTGCCCTACAAACTCTGTCAAATGCTAGCAATCAGAGCACACTTTCTTCCCGGTGTGACAAACGACAGCTCGATGCGAAGGCCCCCTCTGCTGCTGCCAAGGAGGAGCTTTGTGCCCCACTCTCCAGCAGCTGCTCTACAACCCACTTGCCTCTGCCCTGTTGGCAGGACATCCTGAAGATGGAGAGGCTATCTTAATGTCAAGGGCAGACCAGACCATGCTATAAAAAGAAACTTGTTATTCTCTCTTTGGCCACAGCCAAAGTCCCATGTCCAGACCTTGCAGACTTGTTGACAGTGCACGAGAAGCAGTGTGGTGGTTTGTAACCTGCCTGGCAGACAACTCCCTCCTGAAGGCAGGATTACTAAAGACAATAACCCCACATCCTGTGACATCCCGACCTACCCAGATGCCTCAGCTCAGTAGGGCACAGAGCACACAGCACAAGGTAGACTGGGTTTATCTCCTCTGGGACTGTCCTCTGCACAGTCTTGATTGCTGAAGGAAAACCACATAGCCAGATGGCTCCACATATCAGCTTCACAAAGCTCTGCAGCCTGGAGGAGGCCACCTCACCCGAAGATAACAATCTTTTCAACAAGGGAATGCAGTCCTGGGACTGGATCCTGCCCCAGGCAAGGCAGGCAGCCTGAAGCCATCTGGGTAGTAGGGCCAGGTGGGCTAAGGAAGTGCTAATGTGATCACAGCAGAACTCACAAAATCATTTTCTCCCTCTAATCTATTCCAAATTTGGGTCCATTTAGACCTGGTTTGTTCACAGAATCACAGAGTGGTTTGGGTTGGAAAGGACCTTAAAGCTCACCCAGTTCCAACCCCCTGTCATGGGCAGGGACACCTTCCACTAGACCAGGTTGCTCCAAGCCCTGTCCAACCTGGCCTTGAACACTGCCAGGGATGGGGCAGCCACAGCTTCTCTGGGCAGACTGTGCCAGTGACTCAGCGTGCCAGTGACTCAGCACCCTCACAGGGAAGAACTTCCTCCCAATATCTCATCTCAGTCTCCCCTCTGTCAGGTTAAAGCCGTTTCCCCTTGTTGTGTCCCTACAGGCCCTTGTCAGAAGTCCCTCTCTGGCTTTTTGCAGCCCCTTTAGGTACTGAAGCTGCTCTAAGGTCTCCCCTTAAGAAGCCTTCTCTTCTCCAGGCTGAACAAGCCCAGCTCTCTCAGCCTGTCTCCAAGCAGAGGTGCTCCAGCCTTCGCAGCATCTCCATGGCCTCCTCTGGAATCGCCCAAGCTAACTATTCACTACATAAATATACTTCGCACTGTCATATATGTAGATCGCATCTCATGGAGCTTCAAACATCATTTGTCCTCTTCAGACATAGCTGCTCTTCCATTAGTACAATATTTCAAATTAAAAGCCTCCATTTCTCCTCTTGACAGGAAAAAAGAGCAGCAAACACGTACAAGGCAGAGCCACTATGCTTAGTTTAAAAATGGAAGATGTACTTAGCATTTCTAAACCACTAACAAGTCCTAATTACCTCTGCAGTAAAGTACAGGATCAACTTAGAAAGGAGGAAGAGTCAGTCATGCCAACAACACCCCTCAGAGACGAAGATGGGCTGCAGCCAGCAGGGAGGGAGCAGCCTGGAGAGCCAACCTGAGCAGCACATGGGGCAAAATCCTACTGCAGGTCCAGGCAGCAGGTTTGGAAAACCTCTCCCAACACCTTCCTAGCAAGGGAGAGGTGAGGGAAGAAAAACACACTGCACAGGAACACATCCCTCTGCAGTTTACCTGATCTAGGATTATTTTGGTATTGAGGGATGCAGGAGGCTGGCCATCCATTTCAAACTGCTGCTGCTATGGAGGTGGGACAGCACCTTCTTTCTGCTAGGCTTGCCACCAAGCAGCTTACAGTGTTTGGGGTATTCAGATCCCAATCCAGCAAAAACTTAAGCAGGTCACTGGGCTCTAATCTACTGCTGCAACTAATGCTTATCCTATGGGCATTTACCTAAGCTGCAGCACTCCTGAGTTAAGTACTTATGTTCTGAGCTGGTCTTTCCATCAGCTTAAGGCAGCGAAGGGTAGGTTTAGGACTTGATTTTCCCCTTCTCAGCCTGGAGGTTTTCAGGTGAAGGCCAAAGAAAGACTCCTCTGCTGTTACCAGGGAGGTGAGCTTTCAAGGAGACAGGGGAAGAAAGCCCAGGCTGAGATGTCCACACACATCAGGATACCCAGAAGATCACAGAGACAAGGCTTTCCAGACAGGGGTTTGGGAAAAGGGATCTACTAGGGATCCAACAAGTCCTGACACAGTGCTACCCCTATGTTACCACTGTGTTATATTTTAGTTTGAGCAATTAAAACAGCACTAGTCTTGAATAAAGGTCAATGTTATAAACTGCACATCTTCTCTGCCAGGCTGGAGATATTCCAGTGTGGAAAACTAACCAGAGGGAAGTTTAAACTGGTGTTAAACTACCTGAGGGATCCCAGGCATAGGGCAAAGAATGCAACATTCTCCAGCTACAGGACCTGAACAGAGGTGGCCCAAGTCAGAGTTTAGATACTGATGAGAGCTGATATTCAAGTACTTTCTGTACTTGACAATCTGGCTTGTCTTCCGAGCCAGATTAATGCCCAGCTGCAAGCACAGTATGACAGATGGGACAGAGAGGGCAGGAAAATGTGCCAGGAACTGCAAAAATCAGTTAACATCCTTCAAAAATGTATGTGGAACTTATGGCCTGAGCTGCAGAGACCCAAGAGCATGCTTACAGACTCAAGCCAAACCCAGAGAGCAAGCTTTCCTCTAAGTAAGTGTTTAGAAGCCCAGTGAAGGTTTCCATGGGCAAGAGGCCTGCAGCAGTTCTGCAAGCCAGAGCAGGGCAGAAAGGGGCCAAAGACGACTCTCTGGATACCACAGCTAAAGCAAATATTTACAGAAGAACAAAGCCAACAGCCTGCTGGCTCGCTCCTAAGGTCCTTTCAAGCCTAAAAATTCATTGTCCCAGTGAGCTGTGGTAAGCTTTCCACGAGGAAAAGCATTTAAAATAGCTGTCTGGTGATACATCAGAGCAGCAAGTGAGTCATCACCTTCATTAGCATCTGTGTGTCAAGGGAGCCTTTAATCGTTTGGTCAGAACCTCTTCACCTCCATCCTGATTTCAGAAAGACTATTCCCAGCACACAGCAGCAAAGATGCTGAAGATAAGAACACAGAAACTACTAATCACTGCCTGGCATTCCCTGTCCAGGGATAAGGAGCCACTCTTTGGGAACAACGGGGGCTGTGCACAGAGGTTCTTTATGTACAAAAGGGATGGTCTGCATCCCTTTTAGGTGACCTCGAATCAACCTGCTAATATTTAGATTGCTGTGTAACAAGCTTGAGAAAAGCAAAGCTATTGCCAGTGGTCTTACACACCTCTCACAGGCCTGCTACAGTTCTAGGGGCAAAACCCACATGTTCTAGACAGCTGCTCTTCCATACCCAGGGAGAAGAGCCTGCTGCAGAAGCAGCAGGGGCTGAGAGTATTTGTCTCACAAGGCAGTGAGGGGCCGTGCTTGACAGAACAGGGTTAATCAATACCTAAAAGCCTTCTTTGCTGGAATGGGAAATATCCCACCGCTTTCCTGCTCTGACAAGGGCTGGTAATTGTTCCTTAGAGCTTCCAGAGCCAGTGTGGGCCAGGAATCAAAGGGCTCTGCAGAGCAGCAACAAGGCTCTTGCCCAGATCCTTCCACACTGGCTACAGTGGTAGTCCCAGCTAGTGCCCTCTGGCTCTGGGGTCAGCTGTGCTGTGTGGAGCTGTTCTGGGCTCTCCTCAGTGGTCCAGCCGCACCCTACATCCTCCTGTCCATGCCTCCCTAGCTTCAGAGACAACGCAGCCCATGAGCTGCAGCGCAGCCCCGGGACACACAAACACCCTCGCTCCCATCCTGCTCACACCAGGTTTTGCACACCTGAAAGCATATCTCTAGCAGCAGTACCCCAGTCCTACTGCATGGTGCGTAAGGCCCCCTTGCTCCCACTACACGGTGCATGTCAGGCAGCAGCACGCCAGCCCCATTTTGAGGTGCGCCGGGTCCTTCATGTCCCACCGCACACCCCCCAGCCCCATTTCTCAGTGCACAGGATGCCCCCGACCCCGTTTCTTGGTGTACAGGGCGCCCCAGACCCCATCTCTCGGTGCACAGGGCACCCCGACCCCGCTGCGTGTCCGAAGCAGCTCCCCGGCCCCGTTTCTCGGCGCACGCTACCAGCGCGCCCACGCGCCCTCCACGGCGGCTCCTCAAGGGCAGGCTGTAGGCGCCAGTC